GAAGGGAGGAGGCAGACGAGCATGTAGAGCAGAGAGAGAGAGACGAGAGAGTAGAGGAGAGAGAACAGAGAGAGAGAGAGAGATGCACGAACGAGAGAGAGAGAGAGAGAGAGGGAGACAGAGGGAGAGAGAGCGAGAGAGAGAGAGACCCGCGTCATTGCCTTGTTCGATGGGTATCCTACTGCTTCATTCCCTATCTAGTCTAGATGTTCGCACGTGTTTTCCCATCGACTCGTTCGTCGGCCAGCAATCATCGTGTGTAGAATCGAGTGCTGCGCCGACGCGACGACGATGATGATGATGATGATGACGATGATGACGATGACGATGATGATGATGATGATGATGATGATGACGATGATGATGATGACGATGACGATGCTAAATAACGGTAATTAATGACGACGTTGTTTAACGAGTGTAACACGGGAAAGTGTGAACACAGGTGTGTGTGCTGATGAGTCAACTCGTAGATTCCTTACGATGTTCCTGCTACGTTGTTGAGTTGATATGTTGTCGACGAAATTTGTTCTCTATCATTCTACATAATTTATTATAGGGCACGCAGTAAAGAGACCTCGATAGCGGAGATCATTTATAACCGTAGATATATAGATATTCTCGTAAGTCTATTAGCGTTTTAGTCGATGGAACACGCGCAGGTGTGGGTCGTGGATACGTTCGCATAACACATGCAGTATGCTAGTGTAGGCATAATAATTCTGCTTTTCCCCCGATTAGCACCGTGTTAAATGCGAATACTTGATGTATATATTTTGCATGTTTTATGCAGACGTAGAACAACAATAAACAGTTAGCCGATACAATGCGATTGTCTTCGTGTGATTCGTGTGACTCTAGCACTAATTAAAACAGTAATAATCAGTTTAACCAATAAATTTTTTTTATTCTATGATTTTGTTGACTACCGTCCGCTCTACACAGCTAACAGATCAATACGGTTGGATCCCAAAAATCCCCGATGTTTGGTCGCTCCCTCTCTCTCCTTCTCTCCTCTCTCTCCTTCTCTCCTCTCTCTTTTCTCTCCTTTCTCCTCTCTTTTCTCTCCTCTCTCTCGTTTAATTTTCTGTGGCGTCAAAAAAGTGGGGCAC